TTTGATAAAATAAAATATTCTTGACACCTCTTATTTCGAAGAAATTTTCATGTAGTTTTTTAATATGTAAATTTTATTTTTTATTTCTATACCAATATGTAAATAAAATGAATTGAAAAAACTTGATATTTTACCTCGGGAATACAAATGTGGCAAATATTTAGGGACGAAGGGAGTAGTAATATCATCTCTAATTTTGTAGATCTTTGATCTAGTTTATTTTTAGATTTTACATCTACAATCAAATAAATTAAGTTGAAAAAAAAGTCGGTTAAACATCCTAACATGGACCGAGAGGACTCAATTGGGACAGAGAGTATATTTAAAAAAACAATAATGAATTTTCGTATTTAAAATAAAAAATGAACTAAAAAATTTAACATATACTTCATTTCTCAAATTAAATATTTTCAATTTTTGTCTAAAATGTTTTTTATTTTTTTTGATATGTCGGGACCAAAAGAATACTGAATAAGGTCTTTTTAATACTCCGATCCCACCGTCCAACAATAATCTTCATGTTCACTATTCATCATATGGTCAAATTTTATTCACTTCGTTGGGGTATTTTCCTTGCCTATCCCTATTTGATAAAATAATATATTGATGTCGCCTCTAGTTTTATAGATCTTTTTTCATATAGTTTTTGAATATGTAATTTTCATTTTTTAATTTCATACGATTTTTCATATAAAATGATTTGAAAATAATTTTGGTCACACATCGTAACGCGTAACAGGAACATTGTTGTTGGATGCAGGGAGTATATATAGTTAATTATATACTAATAACATTTTTTAGACCAATGCACAAGAGATTTAATTTCCTTCATGACTTACTTTTTCCTATTCTATAAAAGTATGGTTTCATATGTTGGCCATGTGTGCAGGAATTGTTTCGTGGCGGAGGCTATGTGGGCCTAGTCACAATCAAATGTTGTGGGCGCTTGTGTGCTAAATGCACTATAAGGCTAGGGTATGCGCCTCTTCTAACACCAATTGGTTTTAGTAGTGTTGGTAGCGCCTGAGGTCCTACAAGTCGTATCAGAGCCAAGTTCACGTGTTCGATTCCCAGCGGGAGCGGGAGCAATTGCTGAGGGGGAGATTGTTGGCCATGTGTGTAGCAATTGTCCTGTGGTGGAGGCTATGTGGGCCTAGTCACAATCGAATGTCGTGGGCGCTTGTGTGCTGAATGCCCTATAAGGCTAGGGTATGCGCCTCTTCTAACACCAATTGGTTTTAGAAGAATTGGTAGTGCCTGAGGTCCTACATCATATACTTTTCTTTTTCTTTACTTTATTTTCTATTCTTTTTCTTTTATTTTAATTTTGATTAAAATATAATTAAAGAAACGGAATAAAATTGATTTTTTAAAAGTAATCAATAACAACCTACTTATGTCCCACGAGAGTAGGGTCTAGGAATGGTGTGAGACCTTGCTCTTACTTGAAAGTACATAGACTATTTTTAATGAGACCCTCGGCTCAAGCTGCAAAGATAAAAAAGATTGCAGGAGGTATATAGAGTAGAGAAAGCGCAGATAAATCACAAAACACATAGAGGCATATAACAAAATGAGTAAAAGGAAGAAAAAAACTAGAGAGCATCAAACATACATGGAATATATATAAAACACACAATAAGTACATAAACTACATTATAGCCTAAAATGTCTACCTAACCACTCTTATTATATCCTAGCTTTCCAAACGCTTCTATGAAAGGTTATATCCTCAATAAGGCCAAGATTGCAAGAAGTCTTAATTCCTGTCTAATCACTTTCTTCAATTCCCATTCTTCCTAAATCTACCCCTTCACCAACCAACATAAGTCTCTCGCTTCTCAGGACTAGGGCGTCAGCATTCCGCCACCTCACATGTCCAAACCGCCTCAACATAGCTTCTCACAACGTACTTATCTTCCACAAGTTCTATGCCTACTCGTCCTTTGATAACCTCATTTAGAATCTTATCCAATCTCTTCTTCCCACGCATCATGCATCCACCGTAAGATCTGCATCTCTGTAACATGAAGTCGACAAACATCCTAGCTGAAATCCTCATATTGCACAGAACTCCCGATGCAAACCTCCACATAGCTCAGGCCGCTCCAACACGTTGTGCAACATCCTCGTCCAACTCCCCATCTGCATGAATGATCAACCATGATATCAAAACTTGTCTACTTTAGGCACTAGGTGAAAACTGATCTTTAATCTACTTCCACTCATGATTCTATCTCTCGGCCGCTGAGATCATTCAATGTATTCAGTCTTGGTGCTACTCAGTCTGAAATTTTTTGGTTCTAGAGAAAGGCGCCAAAGTTCCAACTTGTCATTTAGTCCATCGCGAGTATCTTGGATAAGCAAAATATCATTGGTAAAGATCATGCACCATGGACCTCTAGTGTAACCCGACCTCTACGGAGAAAGGCTCAGAATCACCTCCGATGAACTTCAAAAAAATAAACCCAAAGAGAAACTTCTGATTTTTTTCCCTTTAAGAAAAAATGGAAAAATAAATAAAGAAAGAAATCATAAAATGAATAGAAAATGAGAAATGAGCTTTAGTGTAAAAAAGAGAACGTTTCTTTGATTTTTATATCATGAAAATGAACCAATATCGATCTTTTGGACAAAAATGAAAATATTTCATTTGAGTCAAATGGAGTATACATTAATTCTTTTTATTTAATTGATTTTTTATTGCAAACACAATAAATTTTGATTTTTAAAACATTATAAAAGTAATTTGAAAAAAGAAATTAAAAGATTATGAAAAAATAGTAGAAAAAATACAAACAATAAAAAAAGAGAGGTGGAGCGTTGGTGTCCATTTCCAAAACCATATGAGGCATTGGAACTATTTACTTAATATTTGAATAATATTTTGGTATAGAGAGGCATTGGCGTAACAATATCAGAATCATGAGGGCAACGACGTAAGTTTTGAAACCATGTAGGTAACGAAGCATATTTACTAAACTACAGGGGTATTAGTGCAATAAACTCAATTCGAATTATATGGTACATGGCTTCCTCAAGGCAAATTATATTGTTCCATGAACCTAAGGTTCATGCTAATTATAAGGATTTTAGTATGTTTGTAGCATAAAAGCATTGACCTTTTAGAAAACACAAAATATTCACATGCAAGTCCAAAAAAAATATGATAAAGTCCACATTTGTAATAAAAGAAAACCTTCTAAATAGGAGTAAAACATGTATCATATCCCAAAGTAGTACTCCAACCATAAACTTCCTTAAATAGGAGTTAAATTATTGAAATATAAAATTTGATATCCATTCACAGTCACAATAGTCAGAACCATGCTTAGACGTCCAGCCTCTTTCTATGGAGCGCAGCCGATCAGCAAATTGCTCTTCCAAAGTCCAGTTTGAATGGATTGTGTATGGGTTACACTTGAAAATTTCAGCCTGGTAGAGTCCTATCACTCCTATTTTTTCCTTGATTAGTTCTTCCCCAAAATCAGAGCCCTAATCGCATTCGACTTTGCTCAAAGCCAACCCTCTTCTTCTCCAATCAATTTTAATCACCATCGCCAACCAATCACAGCTTCATCACCGCCACCACCGCCAAATTATAGCGTCGTCGATGCTGCCGCCATGCACCCCATCCCTCTCAAATTCATTGCCGCACTCGTGTCATGCCGCCCACCTCCATGATTTAAAAAGTGAGCATTTTCTCTCTCGATCTTTAATTGAATTCTATTTTTTTCAAAATTCTCGCTAGCGGTCATGGAGGGCATTGGATTTGGTTTGACATTATGTCATTGTGTAACATTGTGACATTATATATAAGCACATGTGGCATTATATATCGGCATTTATGATATTATATATTGTCATATGTGACATTATATGGTGCCATATTTGACATTATGTCGTTCTTTTACACTGTATTGACTGTTAATGTGGCATTGTGGAACGATGGTGCAGATTGTGATGGTAGCATCGTTGATAATGGTATAGAGCGGTGATGACGTTACGTTGTTGGTGATGATGAAAAATTAAAGGCGCCAATGGTAGGTTTCGATTGCAGCGGTGCGGTGGGGCAGAGTAGAGGACGGCGGCGGTGGAGATTCAAGTGATAGTGGTAGGAATGCGGCGGCGACGATGGCGGCAGTGGGCATCCCCGTCGACGACAATTGCGGTAGTGTGCGTCGCTGTCGGCAGCATGCTATTGTGAAGTTGGCCAATTTTTTTTTTAGTTTTGGACTTGGCCGACACTAGCGGATCTATTGCTAAGCTAAGGGGGTAAAACTTAAAGGTGGTGATCTATTTGAATTTGTGGATCTATTGGCTGCAAATGCAACGCGTGTGGGGAGCATTTTTTTTGTTTTATTAATTAAGTTAATTACTCCTATTTAGAGGAGTTTAAGTTTGAACTCCTATTTTGAGGATATGACATACCTTTTACTCCTAGTTTGGTCCTTCTCCCTTGAAATAAGAACCATGAGACGTTTAATCATCACCCCTTTCTCAAATACTCGCAACTAAAGATATTAGACAAAAATAATTGGATGGATCACGGATGAACAATTCACCCTACAATTCCATTCTTCAGCAGTAGTTGTATAATAAATTATTCTCTTGCATTTATTATCATAAGGTTTGAATTATTATCCTTATTTGGAGTATTATTGGACGTACTAAAAAAGGAAAGTAAAAAAAAAAGTACTCCCTATGTAGGGTAGATTTCATGAAAATCCAAGAAAATGAAGTGGTGAAGCAACAGTGAGTTGTTGTACTTGTTGTTCAGCTAGAGAAAGAAAGGTTTGTGATAAAGAAACGTATACAAGCACACAGCCACAGGTCATCCATACATTTCTATGAAGTAATCAGTATGATTTGAAACCACCCAAAACCTAGCTTTTGTCCACAGCTCAGCTCTGCTCCTTCACACATTAATATGCCGAGTTCTTATTAGCTTCTTTCATTAATGATTTTGTATACACATAGCTTTTCTTTAATTAATAATGTTCCTTTTCACCGATTCAAACCCACTCATTCATCACATCCCGGCACCCTCCGCCACCTTCCACGGCGGCAGTACCCAGATCCTCCTCCCCGAGTTCCCGGACCACCACCACCACCACCACCACCAAATTTCTTCATATGAAACCGACATTATTAAAAACAATGTCCTCACTCGGGGTGCGGCCAATAAGGGTGGATGCCGTTTTAAACCGGCAAGGACTCACCCGATGGTGTTTCCGAGCAGGACGGTGAAGAAGAAGAAGGTGGCGATCAAAAACGACCGGCACACTAAAATAATGACCGCCCAAGGGTTGAGGGACCGGAGGGTTCGGCTCTCAATAAGCATCGCCCGTAAGTTCTTTGATCTCCAAGACACTCTGGGGTTCGACAAGCCGAGCAAAACCCTCAATTGGCTCTTCGCCAAGTCCAGGCTCGCCATCGAAGAGCTCGTCCGTGCCAAGGACGAGAACGCTGGCGAGCCTCTGGAAATGGGGAAGAGGGCAAAACCCTATCCCGTCAAAGATGAAAGCCGCGGCGGCGTTGGGATTGGAATTGATGAGTGTAGCGGGGACAATGTCGCGAGAGAGTCGAGGGCAAAGGCGCGGGCGAGAGCTAGGGCAAGAACCATCATCAAGAAAATGTGCACTAAGGAGGCATTAATAATGAGTGAGGTTCCCAAACTTCCCTTAATCAAATCTCTCTTTCACACTAATAGGAGTGAAGTGGCATCTAAGAAAGAAGAATCTGAGGTTGGGTCAATGTGGGATATACCCCAACATCTTCGGATGCCAATTAATAAAGATTTGGGGTCACTCAACAATAGCAACAACAACATCAACAACCCTGGAAATTGGAACTATGCTGGGAGCACTACTAGTGTATTGTCGTCCCAAGGTAACATATCTACTCCCTCCGTCCCAAATTATTTGTCACGTTTCTATTACCGAGGCAAAATATCAAGTTTTTTCAATTCATTTTATTTACATATTGGTAAAGAAATAAAAAATAAAAATTACATATCAAAAAACTACATGAAAAGTTCTTCGAAATAAGAGGTGTCAAGAATATTTTATTTTATCAAATAACCAATGAAAACGTAGAAATAAACAAAAGTTCCCGCGACTGTTGAAAAAGCAAATGTGGCAAATAATTTGGGACGGAGGGAGTATCTATAAACTTTGCAATTATTGGATGTAGAAATCACCTTAAATAAGACTAAAACATAGAGTAAAGTACCAAAATAAGACTTTAATGTTTTTTTCCCGAAATAGAACTTTGCACTGTGATAATGTGACTTTGCACTGTGGTCATGTGGCAGTGTACATGTGCACATTACTATACTTTTTTGGTAATGTATATGATCATGTTTGGTAATGTAAGTCCTATTTCGGGAATAAAAACATGGAAGTCCTGTTCATTTTTACTTATGTTTCGATTCCTTTTTCACCAAATTTAAGAATAAATAAGTAAATTTTAAACATACATTTTGCAATTGGACTCAGACATGTAGGTAAATAAATAAATATTCAAATAAATAAAATTTGGAATTTTGTTTAGTTTCGGAGAGTAGAGTATTATGTTTCTATTCTCAAATTGTAGGTGATGAGTGAATAGTAATATAAATATTCTCCGTATTTAAGTTCTCATTTTCTCTTTTCTGAATGTCCGAATTAAAAGTCTTATTATCTTTAAAAAAAAAGATTAATGTGGTTCATATTATTTCTCTCTTTTGCACAAAATATATGCATATAATAATAATTTTTTAATGTTCCTGAAAAAGAAAAAAGAACATTTACACAATTCTTTCTACAAAAGAAATAAGATTTTATTTTGTAACGTCCTTAAAAAGAAAATGATCGAGAAATTAAATCTTAAATGTGGAATCAAACGTGTACTCCGTATATAATATTAAATTCAAACGATGTTTTATAATATTACGGATTATATATTTTTACTACTCCATCCCTCTTGCTAGATTCTATAATTATTATTTTTCGAGAAAGACTAAATCTTTTTGTCCAACTGTAATAATCTTTCACCACAAATGATTTTATTTAAAATATTTAAATATTAAAATTATAGTTAACTATTTTTAATTAATTTTAATTTATGGTTAAATAGTGTTACGGTTTGACAAACCAAATAATTTGTGGACAAATAGTGTTATTATTTGACAACAAATTAAAAATATTTATTGCCCTATTTTCAATTAATTTTTACCAATTAAGTTTTTGCCAAAACTATTGTCCTATAATTAAAATTAATTTAATTGGAAAAACAAATAAAAAATAATTAATTTATGGTCAAATAGTGTCCATAAATTATTTGTTTTCTCAAACTATTACACTATTTGACCACAAATTATTAATAATTACTCCCTTCGTTCCTTTAAACACTTCCTATTTTGACTTTGGGTCAAAATAAGAAAAGTATAATTTTGGTTGACTTTCCAATTTTGTCCCTGATGTGATGGGTAAAAGTAAGATGTGATAGTTTGGTTATTAGTGAAAAAGTATGATGTGATAGGTAGGGTATGAAAAAGTAGGGGTAAAAGTGATTTTTTAATAGAAAATGTAAGTGTTTTAGGGAATTGGAAAAAAATGAAAGATGAAATGTTTTATGGAACGGAGAGAGTATAAAATTAACTATAATGTAAATAGTTAAATATTTGACCACAAATTAAATTCTTTTTATTTATAATTATTTTTTGTTTGTGGTAAAAGAGTATCACAATTGAATAATTTAACTATAATGTTAATTGATTTAATTGGAAAAACAAATAGCGTTACGGTTTGACGAAATAAATAAATAAAATTTATTTATTAATATTTTTACTTTTTGGTCGACTAGTGTTATAGTTTGACAAAACAAATCAGGAAATTTTTTTTAGGAGGGATGAAGTAAGATGTGACGAAGATATTTTATTTTGTTAAACAATCAATGAAAATACACAAGTAAATGAAATTAACGAATGTGAGTACAGTAATAACTCAATTACGTTTGGGAGAGAGGAGGGAGACACATATTTATTACCATTAGTAAAGATGTTATAATTATATACTCCGTAATTGTAAAATATAAAGAATATATGCTCGTATACTCCGCATAAGTTATACTCCCTCCGTCCTAAAACTTTCTTCCCACTTCCCCTTTTTCTCCGTCCTAAAACTACCTTCCCATTAGAAAAAAAAAGATGACAAATGACATTAATACCCTCATGTATTTACACCAATTATCTTCTAACTCTATATTTTGAATGATTGCAAAAAAAATTGCAAAAAATCTTTTTTAAGGAGGGTAAAATTTGAAGTCAAAGCCAAAAATTAAAAATGGGGAAAAGTCAAACCGAGAAGAAAGTTTTAAGACGGAGGGAGTAATTTTTTTTCATTGTAATACAATTATGTATTTTTAGCTAAATTTAATATTTTTCTAATAAATATAATCTTTAATTTTATGAGTTACTCCCATTACCTCGTTCTGCTTGTCTTATCCATATTCACAGAGTTAAATTAGTTATTTTTTCTTTACATGTTTTTGTCTATCATATTTGTTAAAAATTATAGTCATGAAATCTCTTATTTCATAAAATATTTTATGTTATTTTGAAATCTACATTTTTAAGTTTTTATTCGACACCAATATTTAAATAAATTTAAAAAAATGCTTTAGTTAAACATTATAAACTGAAATGAGATAAAAATGTAACAAGAAAGTACTTTTTTACGTAATGCTCGACATGTCGCGTGTTGATAAAATATCTCACAGATACAACCTTACGGCCTAAAATTTTGGGGTCCACCACTGCAGCCAAGTGAAAAAGTCATTAGCCAAACAATGATTTTATTTGTTTGATTAGTCAAAAATGCCAAAGTTAGTTAATGATGTCAAAAGAACAATGAACTCTTTTGGTAGTGTTTTAGTGTGATGTGTCAAATACACCCTATTTATGTAAAACCCTATTCTTTTAGTCATATCTGCCTAATTTTCTTCGTTCCTCATGAGATTGAAGGAGTGCTTCTATGGTGTATATTGGGTGCTTATTATTTTTGTAAATCTTCTCACCTAAAAACTTTTTTTTCTTTTGATTTTTATTTTTTTAAAAAAATCCTCATCTAGGTAGTATGGAATTGCGTACTTGAGTCATTTGTAGGTACACCATGTAATTTGCCTTCAAAGAAGTACACCTTGAGAATGTTGTTGGCCTAGCTACTTTACTTTGCTGGTATTTTACTATCTCCTCCAAATATTATCTTACTATTTAGTGAGTCAAACTTTATTAATTTTAGGGCCTATTTTGTTGTCGATATGGTAAAATAATATTTTTGTCACTTCTAGTTTTGTAGATTTTATAGTTCAATTTTTAGGCATGTAATTTTTGTAATTTTAGGCATGTCGATATGGTAAAATAATATTTTAGTTTCACAACATTTTTCATATAAAACGATTTAAAAATAACTTTAATCAAACATCATTACAATCTACGAGGAGATAATTTTTGGACAGAAGGTGTAAAAAAAATTAATTTTTTTGCCATACCAAAATAAATTTTCTATTCAATTTTTTAAGGGAAGTATTCAACGGTTCACTTTTTTTCTCTTCATTATATAATCATAAAAATATTCAGTACTACTTGGTATTTCTTAAAAAGTTTACTCTCTCCATCCCAAAAAATCCATTTCATGTGTTTGAGTGTTATGAAACTTAAGATAGAAATACTTTAGTGTTAACTTTCCAAAAAGATCTCTGATTTGATGATTAAAAGTAGAATATGAGGAGTTGATTATTAGTACATAAATATGAAGTGATATGTAGACTGAAATTTAATATGAAAGAAATACTCTCTCCGTCCCGAAAAACTTGGGAGTTTTGATTTTGAAGAGGGATTTAAGGGGAGTATATTTTGGTATTGAATTTCCAAAAATGTCCTTTGATGTGATGGGTAAAAGTATGATTTGATGGATAGATTATTAGTAAAAAAGTATGATGTGATAGTTAGGGTATGAAAAAGTAAGGGGTAAAAGTGACTTTTTAATAGAAATAAGAAGTGTTTTTTGGGACGGATGAAAAAGGAAATGAGAAAGGTTTTCTGGAACAGAGGGAGTAGTTTTTTTAAAACGGAGAAAAACATTTTGGGACAAGAAAAATAGGATAAATTATTTCTGGGCAAAGGAAGTACGAAAAATACTAGTGGTACACCAAATAGTGTAATCTATACACCAAAGGCAAAAATTGACATTTTATGTCCGTTCGAGCACATACATTATGTCCATGTTTAATTTGCCTTATCGTACAATTGGGATAAGCCACTCTAATAGAGTGAAATTAGGATGGGGTGGGAATTGTTGAATTAGTTAATATGACACTTGGGTCAAACTATATTTAAAAGATTGAATCCAATCAATTAGTTAGTTTAATTCAAGAGTTTATATACCGATTATTTTATTCTTGGACTTTCGATGTGGAATGCACTCTAACAATATTACTTATTATATTCCAGCTGTCTCAAAAAACCTTTACATTCAATAAAAATCTTTCTTTTATATCAAAAAATTATTAACTTATCTAGCATATCATGTACATTCATTATTAACATATTCATCACATTATATCTTACATTACGATAAAATATGGAAAATTGGAAATTAAAGTAACAGTAAAATAAAATTGTACATTCTTTAAATCTCATTTTTTTTTCAATGCGGAAAAGTGACGGAGGTAGTACTATAAATGTAACATAATCTGAATTAAAACAACATTTAAAAATAAAATAATGCTATGTTTTTAAATAATGATATCATGCTGATCTCAATTATACACAAAAAATGCCCATTATAAGTGTAACATAATCTAAGTTAAACTAATGATATTCAATTCAAATAGCAATATATATACATATATTTTCATTTACATCTTAATTTGTATTTGTAAATTTTTAGCACAAACACAAGATCAAAATAATACGGAGTACTCTAGCTGTAACTAAATTTGTTGATAGGAGTATTATACGGAGTATTATTATCTCTATCCTAAGATGATTTTTCCAGTCACTATTTACATGGTCATATTTTTATCACTTTCTTAACTTATTTCCATTAGTTATTTAGTAAAATTAATAGTTATGTCATCTTTTGTTTTATAGAAATTTTGATATAGTTTTAAAATATATAGTTTTTATTTTTTAAATTTACACGTATAATCAAATAAATTAAATTGAAAATAATTACAATAAAACTTTCGTAAACCAAATTGGAAAGATCATTTTAGAACGGAGGGAGTACCGATCTAACATTTCTTTTCATAACAAATCTACTCCCCCCACTCCTGAATAAATACTCCGTATGAAGTAATTACTCTGTCCCATAAAGATGTTCTCATTTGAACTCCTAAGAAATTGGGAGAAAGACTAGAGCAAGAGGAAAACATTGAAAATATACCAAAATAGGATTTCCATGTTCTTATTTCCGAAATAGGAGCTAAAATGTATTTACATTATTACCAAACGTGGTCATGTACATTACCAAAAAGTATAGTAATGTGTACATGTACAGTGACACATTACCATAATATTACCACAGTGCAAACTCCTATTTCGAGAATAAAAATATAGAATTCTTATTTAAGTATTTTTCTATGTTTTAGTTTTATTTAGGGTAATTTTTATATAAAAAATTTAAGGTAAGAATATTTTTGTGTTGACTTTCCAAAAATATCTTTGATGTTATGGATAAAAGTAAGATTTGATGGATAGAAAATATTGATAGGTCAAAGAAAATGTGGGACAAGAAATTGTGGGACAAGAAAAATAAAGAAAAATAGAAAATAAAAAAGGAATTTGTGGGACAAGAAAAATAAAGAAAGGAGGAGTTTTTGGGACGCAGGGACTATGTGTTTACCATTTATGTTTTCCTATCAAAATTATTATAGTATTATTATTTTTTTTAAAAAAAATTATGCCAGAAGTATTTTAAATCCAAATCATTTGAATATTGGTCTAAATTAAATAAAAAAGAATTCACATATTTAAAACTACATCGAAGGAAGTAGAATTAACGTATTGTCAAACAGTGCAACACTTTGATCATAAGTTATGGATAAAATATACTCCGTATTTGATTATAAGGAAAATTTAGTAAAATTAAATTTATTTTATAGTAAAGTTTTGATATTTCAGATTTTTATAAAATTTAATTAATTGAAATTATTTTTAATTTATATGATCAAAGTGTTGATGTGTATTTTAATTATTTAACATATATAGTAACTACATCTATCAAAGCTAATTGATGTGCATTTTAATTTGCAGTGCATACAAAATCCTGGGAGTGGTCTGCCCACAACTACCAATGCTAATTGATGTGGATTATATATACAGCTAAGTCGTGCATGGCTATGTATAGCTAGCTAGCTAGGTATATGGAGTACACGCTGCTAGCTGCTTCGTTCTTGAATATAATATTATTATATTGGTGCATGCATAAAGGCTATAATATAACGAATCTTTACGTACAACCTCCTGAATTGGATATTACCCTTCAATGAATAATTTTCTGTGTTGCGTTTGTGCACCAGCTATTATTTAATGAATAAATTCCCGCAGAGGGAAGATTTGGTGCAGTCAATTCCCCAGAGGGAAAATCGGCTTTACTAAAGCCGTTTTTTACAATTTTTTTTTTTTTGAAAATTGGCTTTGTAAAAGCCGTTTTTTGTAAAAAAAAAAAATTGGCTTTGTAAAAGCCGTTTTTTGTTTAAAAAAATTTTAAAAAATGGCTTTCATGATTTTTTCATTGCATAAAATATACACACTTCGTTTAAAAAAAATTGTGCCATTTCATAAACTATTTTTTATAATAAAAAGAAATATTTTTTATGATTCAATATATAATTTGTTTTAAAAAAAATCAACCAATAAAAATTTAATAAAGAGATGTTCAACAAGAAAAAGAACGCAATATTGAAAACATAAATATATTAAAACATCAACAGAAAATTACATTCTCAACATCTAAAGTAAACAAGAATTACAATACCTTCCCTGAAACAAACTAAAAAAATAGTAAACTAAAATCATCTCCTTGCCCTGAAATCCATCTCGCCCTGGTATCGATTGCATTGACGTCTCCCTGAACGTGGAATCTCATCTGTTGGCCGTTTGGGAGGTAGAACTTTAAAGTTCCCAACATCCAAATTTTGAGGGAAAAGAACAGGTTGAATTATACCACTATAACAACTCAAATAGTTTTGAACCGAGTACCTAGCCGGTAATATGTTGTGAGGAACTTGTTGTCGAAAAGAGTGGTAAACAGCATGAACATGAACACAAGGTATATTATCGGAAGTCCACTGCCCACAAGTGTATACACTATTAAACAAATTGACCAAGTAGTTGTAAATGGAAGAAGGATCTGTTCGAGATGTGTGAGTCACTACGTATTGGTTGTTACCATAGCTTGAGACTGTCCACTTGTGCTTAGTTTTCTCCCGATTAAGGAGAACATTTTTAATTTTCGGAGTAATGTGCATGCTCTGTTCTTGCCACTGAATACCAAGCTTGTACCTTTTAGCAAACAATTCAACCATCTTGGCATAGGACATGGATAAAATGGCAGTGACAGGTAACATTCGACAACCTTTCAGCATATTGTTGAAACTCTCGGAACTATTTGT